ATTCAGGTGCCTGAATAGGCAGTTTCCTGAATAGGGAATTTAGGAGCACCTGCAGGCAAAGCCAGAAACATCTCTGTATCAAATTAGAAAGCATTGATCAGCTTTTTATTCCCTAACTTATTAACATTTAAATTTACTGGCTTATTACTCCCTGACTTACTAAGATTTAAATTTACTATTGAGGGTAGGCTAAAGCAGCCAGGCTTGTATGCTGCTGGTGGGAGTGTATATTGATACAAATGTTTTGGAAAGCAATTTGGCAATGTATTTCAAAATCTTTAAAGGCATTCATAGCATTTGACCTAGTAGTTCTACTTCTGGGAACTATCCCAAGGAAATTATCCTTTAAAAAACTTTTTTTTCTAAGCCTCAGAAATTTTTAAGTATTATTCGTAATACTTTATTACTTCATTTATAATATCAAGAAATTTGAGCAATTTAAATGTCTCACAGAAGGAGAATAGATAAACAAATACATTCCACTTAAAGGAATATTATGACTCAAGTTAAAATATTTTGAGGAGTATGTTGTAAGAAAATTTCTCAAAATGTTAGGTGAGAAAAGCAAACTACAATGAGTATAAACAATAGAAATTGAACTATATTTAAAAATATAGGGATGCCTGTGTGGGTGGCTCGGTGGTTGAGCGTCTGCCTTTGGCTCAGGGCGTGAGCCCCAGGCCCTGGGATCGAGTTCCACATCAGGTTCCCCTCAAGGACCTTCTTCTCCCTCTGCCTGTGTCTCTGCCTCTCTCTCTCTGTGTCTTTCATGAATAAATAAATAAATCTTTAAAAAAATATATTTAGAAGAAAAGAATGGTGAGAAATGTACTTAAGGAATAGATGTTTTTGGCTATTAAAACTTTTAAGAGAAGCAATAATAATTTTTAATTAGCACTTTCAAAAGGAAGACATATAGTAAGGAAGGGATAGTTAATACACCCAGCTCCACTAATTGCAATATTCACCCCTCACAGCAACCAGATCCCTTCACTGAAGTCACACTTCCTAATAAGCACTGTGATTTCCACAGGAGAAAAAAAGTGCCCCAAGATGAGGATCTCTAAAATGCCAACCACTCAGTTACTACAAAGGCTGTGCTTCTATTGTAAGTGAATAAAATGACATGTTGGTTTATTAACTAGACTTCTCTGGATTTGATTAGTCTCGGTCCGTCTCCCAGGAGCCTGACTTTTGCTCATGAATGGGATAGAATTAGTTTTTTGGACTTGGAAATCTGAGGTCCAGATCCTGGACTTTTGATTCCCACCAAAATATATCAGCAACCCTGGAGTGCTGGTCAGCCCATTGTTTCAATGGCAAAAGAAGAAAGCAGAAATAAAAGAGAAAATAATATTTTTATGTGATGAGTTAGTCTTTGAGTTAAAAATAAAAAAAGAAAGAAACTAGAAATCCTTTTTTCTTTCCTTAAGCAGCAATTGCTTAATACCTCATTTAGGAAAGCCTTTGATTATGCATCTTTAGTTTTTCTGGTAATGTGATCTATAGTATAAACTGGCTAAGTGTATTCACTTAATGTTTGACTCACTAATTTAGCTTCTTTAACATTGTTACATATTATCATCAGGCTTTGTTCTTATTAATTCATATAACATTTATTTTTATTTTTTTAAGATTTTATTTATTTATTTGACACAGAGCACAAGCAGGGGAGCAGCAGAGAGAGAGGGAGAAGCAGGCTCCCAACTCTGCAGGGAGCCTGATGCGGGGCTTGATCCCAAAACCCCGAGATCATGACCTGGGCCAAAGGCAGAGGCTTAACTGCCTGAGCCACCCAGGCACCCTATTTTTTTCTTTTAATAAAAGCTTTACTCACATATAATTCACATAAACAATTCACCCATTTAGAGTATATAATTCAGTATTCAGAGTTGTGCAGCCATCATCACAATCCATTTTAGAACATTTTCATCACCCCATAAAGAAACATAATACCCATTAGCAATCATTCCCACTTCCCTCCTCCTCTTCTAGCCCCAGGTAACCACTAATCTACTTTCTGTCTCTATAGTTTGTCTATTCTGGACTTTTCATATAAACTAAATGATGTAACATGTGATCTTTTGTCACTGGCTTCTTCAATCTCCATGTTTTCAAAGTTCATGAATGTTTCCAGTTTGGGGCTAATATGAATGCCACTGTGAACTTTCACTACAAGTGCTTGTGTGGGCATATGTTTTTATTTTTCTTAGGTACATATATACCTAGGAGTAGAATTGCTGGATCATATGGTAGTTCCATATTTAACATTTTGAGGTGCTCTCGGACAGTAGCTACACCATTTTATAATCCTAACAGCAATGTATGAGAGCTCCAATATCACCACATCCTTGCCAGCACTTGTTGTCTGTAATAATGTATCTGATGATGGGGCATCTGGGTAGCTCAGTCAGTTGAGTGTCTGCCTTAGGCTCAGGTCATGATCCCAGGGCCCTGGGTGGGATCAAGTCCCACATCAGGCTCCTTGCTCAGCAGAGAGTCTGCCTCTCGCTCGCTCTCTCTCTCTCTGCCCTGTGCCCCTGCTTATGCTCTCACTCTCAAGTAAATAAGTAAAATCTTTAAAAAATAATAATGCATCTAATGATTATAGTCATCTCAGTGAAGTATATCTCTATATGATTTTAATTTGCATTTCTTTGTTGACTAATAATTTGAGCATCTTTACATGTCTTTATTATCCATTTGTATATCTTCTTTGGAGAAATGTCTATTCAGATTCTTTGCCCATTTTTTAATTGGGTTGTCTTTTATTATTGAGTTGTAAGAATTCTTTATTTTAGGGGCACCTGAGTGGCTCAGTTGGTTAAGTATCCAACTCTTGATTTCAGCTCAGGTCATGATCTCAGGATTGTGAGATCAAGGCCTGTGTCAGGCTCCAAGCTGGGCATAGAGCCTACTTAAGATTCTCTCCCTCTGTCCCTCTCTCTCTCAGTCCCTCTCCAAAAAAATTTTTTTTAATTCTTTTTTTTGGATAGAAGTCCTTTATTACATACAGTTCATGGATATTTTCTCCTATTCGTATGTTGCCTTTTCACGTTTTTGATGGTATCCTTCAAAGCATGTGAGTTTAATTTTGATGAAGTCAAATTTATTTTTTTTCTTGTGCTTTTAGTGTCATAGCTAATAAACCGTTGTCTAATCCAAGATCACAAGATTCACATTTATGTTTTTTTCTAAGAGTATTATAGTCTTAACTCTTACATTTGGGTTTTTTATCAATTTTTTTAAATTTTTTTTTGTGTATGATATAAGGAAGTGTTTTGTTTTTTTTTTTAAGAGTTTATTTTTTCATGAGAGACAGAGAGAGAAGCAGAGATATAGGCAGAGGGAGAAGCAGGCTCCACACAGGGAGCACAATGTGGGACTCGATCCCAGGACCCTGAGATCATGACCTGAGTCTAAGGCAGACGCTCAACCCCTGAGCCACCCAGGCACCCCATAAGGAAGTGTTCTAACTCCATTCTTTTGTATGCGGCTATCCTGTTGTCCCAGAACCATTTGTTGAAAAGACAGGCACTTTTTCATTTAATTGTCTTGGCATCCTTGTTGAAAATCAAATAACTCTAAGTGTGAGGATTTATTTCTAGATTCTCAGCTCTGTTCCATTGAGCTACATGTCCATATATTTATTATTTCATTTGTTCTACAAAGATTTATTGAACATCTTGACATGTCCGTGTTACTTGCTTTTGGGAACTAAACCATCCCTCTTCAAAGCCCAAATCTTCAAGAAACACATTCTAACAGGATCTCACATCTCTTTTTCTTAATGAGATAGGAAGTGATTTCCTTTTGTAGGCACACCCATAGAGACAATTTTATCTCTGATTTATACACAGTCTTTTGACAAGTTGTCTGTTTCATACATGTTCAGAAGTCTGAATGTGTTTTAGAAGGCTTGGAAGAATGAAAATTGGTCTGGGATAGTTCAGTGGCTGTATTGAAGATGAGGTTAGTTTTAAAGTGGAAGGATGATCTGCAGCCCTGGTGAGGGTGCCTGGCAGGTGTGGAATGGCCCACTTGCAACCTGAAACATCCAGGATGTTGGTAAGTGTAGTTGCTGCTAGCATTAAGGCGAGAGAGAAACCCAGAGAGGTAGGGGTGGAGGAGCTGCTGGATTGTATACCCATAATTCTTCCAGATTCTACTTTGGGAGCAGTTCCTTGCCAGTACAAAGCTATAAGGAGAAACTGAGGCTTACAGATAATGACTTATTGCTGAGTTTCAGGTGACCAAAAGGAGACAAGAGTCTTTTGTAATGGTGATGGCTAGTCTCTACATAAGGACTGTGAGTGTGCGAACTGAAGGGATAAGCCAAAGAAATTTAAACTTAGCAGAACTTAATGATTATCTAAAATAAAGACAATTGCAGTGTTACAATTTCAGGAAATTGGGGAGGATAACTGTACCAATGCTTACTGTAATAAACAAGGTGAGAATGGTTTATAAAACTAGTAAACTTTAATATTCAAGTGAATTATGAAAGGTAATTTAACCATTAGGTAATACATCAATATACAGTATAGATAGGACATAAGAAATGCATAAGAAATTTGCTAGATACAAATACAGTTGATTTCCCTACAATGAGTGCCTGTTCCTTTTTGAAACCCATATTGTAAAATGACCTGTCAGTGTCTAATTTTAGAGGTTAAGCAATGATTTTGTTTTCTCTATACGATAAATGTAAAATGTATTGCACTTGGCCAGTGACTTTGAAAGGCTTAAGAAGGGTACTGAGATTCCATGGTGTGCTGTTGCCATTAACAATGTTATTGTTTTGGGAAAAAAAGCAATATTAGTGTTTTGGAGGAAAAAAAGTTTTTAATATTGACTGTATTAAAAAACAGTTTATGTAAGTTTCAGTTGCTCAAAATAGTTTTATATCTAAATATTAAAATTGAATGTTTCAGAAAATTATTATGTGTTGAAATTTGGTACAATATACATTTATTTACCCATCCTAAAATTTCTTTCAGGAATTGTTCCATCTTCTGTTGTCCTGACTTCTTTCCAGGTGATGTCAAGAGTTTTTCTGATATGGGCAGTAACACATAGCGTCAAAGAGGTAAGTGTTTTTACATAAATTAAAGTAATATCAGCAGCGCTAGTCAACTTTTCTCTCTTACGTGTGTGTTATGGCTAAAGATGGAACTCTAGGTCACATCAGTATAGTCCAAACAAAATGCAAAGTCACTGAAGGAATTGGGTTACTATTGGGAAACATACTCCAAATATGTAGTGTTATTAAAGAGAAGACTGGTTAAATGATAAAGTCCTGCCATCCTAGTTCCTATAGAGATTTGGGCAATGTGGATGTGGTTCTGCAACTCAGTTATATTTTGGGGGTATCTTGTTTGTATCCAGCATACTAAACTGGACATCTGCATCCATATATAATGGGACTACTGGGGGAGTTGGGGATATTAATTCAGTCCAGGGGAGTCCTCTTTGTAGGACCAGGAGAAACAAACTTGTTTCCACCCAGCCCATGAAGATGAATGGAATTCCCAAATGTGCTGAGACTAGTGGATCTGGAAGGGGAGTGCTCTTCAGGGGACCTGGGGTGATAGGCCCAGGGATGCTGGGAGAAAGCCAGCATTACCATCAGTATGAATCCACAAATAAGCTTTCATTTTCTAGTATGGGAGAAGGGGATTATTTTCCTGTGTGTATTTTGCTTTTTATAAGTCATTTATTTCTTGTTAATGTCACCTTGAAGCAGAATACCTGTAGCCCCCAGGAGGATCATTTTTCAATTTTTCAGTCCCAATCACCAGCAGTATTGGAATTTTGGGGCTCGTGAAATGTGCTTATCCATTAGCAGCATTCTGGTGTATTCATTGTATTCTATTCTTCCAAAACCCCTGTCAAAACATTTTGTTTTTTGGGATTTATTTTGACAGTTTCATTTGTGTTTCAGCTGATGAGGTGCTTGCTTTTTTTTTTTTTTAGCTTTTTATTGGCATATGATATACATACAGAAAAAATGCACATGGCTAATGAGTTTTTAGCCAAAGCTGTTTAAGCTAAGTTATTATTTTTGTTACATTCATACGAAATTTGCTGATCCAAAGGCTTTTTTTAAAAGCTCTCTCATTTCTCAAAGATGTTTAAACTTTATGTACAAGAAAAATGTAAAAATAATCACATACTTTTTAAAATTTTTATTTTAATTCCAGTATAGTTAACATACAGTGTTTTATTAGTTTCAAGTGTACACTATAATGATTCAACAATTCTGCACATTACTCAGTGCTCATCATGCATGATAAGTGTATTCTTCATCCTCTTCACCTCTTAATCCTCTTTACTCATCTCCTCTCTGATATAACCATCTGTTTGTTCTCTATAGTTAAGAGTCTATTTTTTGGTTTGTCCCTTTCTCTCATTGTTTGCTTAATCACATACTTTTTAAAAAGTGATCTCCCCTTTTTTCTTTAAAAAAAAAAATGGGTTTTAAAAAACCAGGCACATAAATCCTTTTTAAAAATTTTGTTAATTTAAATTCAATTTAGTTAACATATAGTGTATTATTAGTTTCAGGGGTAGAATTTAGTGACTCATCAGTTGCATATAACATCCAGTGTTCATTACATCATTACTTACAATTCCATATAACCTCTTCATTTCAAAGTTCTTTCTACAGATCATCGTTTTTAACCAGTATTTCTTTTTCCCTTAAGTATTTACACGGTTTCTTTTTTGTTTTAACCAACAACGTATAAAGTTCCCGATAGTCTCAAGTGACCTAAAGTTTCTTTCTGATAGGAACTCATCTATATTCTTAAATAGGTAATTATGTACTTTCAGTAACTTAATATGAGACACATGAAGACAGGGTCTTGTCAACTATGAGCATGTGGTTGTTTTGCCTTAAACAATCAGATATTAATTGTCCAGGTGCTGATGCTCCCGCTGATAGATTACTTATGGCCTTTGCTTTTTCCTCCTCTCTTTGGCCTCTGTGATCACTCTTCTCCTTTTCTCTTTATTAGCCTCTGGCAAAGGGAGTTAACAGGTAAATCTTAAATGCTTATGATTCAGGTCAAGCGGTTCTGTTCACCATATTACTAGCAACATTTGCCAGGATTTCCTAGGCAACCAGTAAGACTGCTTGGTTTAGAAGCTGTTAACTGTCTGTGTGGATTACAGGTACATGGACCTGGCTATTGTCCTCAGTAACCATACTGCCTGACAGATGCATGGATTTGACCGTTTCATATGGTTCACATATAGTGTCATATTTGAGCTTTGCAGTAAGTTGTATACTTGTTACATTTGCATTTTCAAAATTCTTTCTCTGTAGCCACTTACCCAGTTTCCACTATAATTGACATATCATTTTCTTAAGAACGTGGTACAGTTAGTTTTGTTGTCTTTCTGCCACCTCTTGGGGCCTCTTCTTTTCACATACACCCTATTAATTTGTTGACTTAGTCCTTTCTCACATAGTTAGGATTCAGTGTTTCTGCTGTTCAGGGATCATAGCTCTTTTCTCCTTGTTCACCTTTTTTTTTTTTTTTAAACAAAATTCTCAGTATTTTGTTTAGATAGTTGACCCCCTTCTTGCCAGGTCATCAATAAGCCTGTTGCTGTGGCATTTCAGAAGCTAGTCTGCTGTCTGTCACCTGTTCCTCAGCCCCTGCTCTTGCCCAAATGCTATTTTTCCTGCCTTAGAGTCTCATATTAGCTATAATTCACTTTGTTCTGTATAACATTACTTATGGCTTCCCTGCTAAACTTCCATTCTTTGTTTTCTGAAACATCACTAAGATATCCTGATTTCTCTTATATTCAACTCTATTTACTTTAATGGTGGCAACCATGTAACTAACACATAAGGAAATTGATGTCAGAAAGAACTGCTTAATAAAACATATCTCACTTTCTCATAGTAATGCTCAAATTCTTTTCATACTACTCTACTTTCATTCTCAGTTTCTTTTTATATCCTATTCCCCTCTAGAGTAGACAAGAATTCTTCACCTTCATTGAATTACATTTGGATTTATACTCTTGCTGCCCCCTCCTCTCTGGTCTTCACATGTTTTCCATGCTCATTTCCTTTGTTTTTCTGTAATTGTACATGGTGTGCTAGGGTATGGCTAATATACCTTTTAGGACTAGATGTTACTTTTTTTTATATATGAGGTATATTTCCTTCTAAGAGGTCTTATGGGACATGCATCTCACTTGTCATTTTAATTCTCTACCCATGGAGTGCTGGTCACATAAATGGTGCCATGTACATCGTAGAACCAGAAGGGGACCAGATGGTTTTCTATTGTGCTATAAAAGGACCCACCCATTAGTTAGTGTGACATCTTGAGTGTCAGGATATCAAAGAAATAATTGTGGTCTCTATTGAAAAACTTTTTCATAAAAAAAGCATAACAAATAGCCTTCCCACTATTTTCCTTTCAAAGAGAGCACCTATATGAGCATAGTAAAGCTTCTGACAAAAATGACAAGCTCAGGGTGGAAGGTAGGTTGTAGGAATCAGCAATTCTAGATGACCTCTTTCCTTTAGAATTTTCCCACGTGTGTCCCAGGCTTGAACTGGCTCCTTCCCCATCCTCTAGCCAGGCTGACCACTGCTGCTGCCACTACCACATCAGACCACCATGGATGGGCTTTTTCTCCCCACACTCTGAGTCTGTCCTTTGTCTCCTCATTGAGCTGAAACAAGACTGCCATTTTTCAAAGTGAACTGCAGTGAAAAAATGGCACCCTCTATCCCTCACTATAACCACTTTCAAAAACAGACAAGTTCATAGGGCATATATTCTTCTTTTGTCCGAAGTAGCTAAGCTGAGCCCCCAGATTCCTTGATGCACAAATGAGCCACTGTGCCTTTTCCTGGCCCAACTCTTTGAAGAAGCCACCCAAATCCTCATTGGAGTTCTCAGCGGAAGATCACTGTGTTCTGGAGCAGAAGTCCCTCATCCCCAACGTGGGCAGTAGTTGAGAAGGAAGTTGCTGGACTCTCACTGTGACTTTACCCAAGTGCAGTGAATACCCTTTACAGTCCTACTAGTGATAGCTTGCATAAAATAAAGCTATACCCTTCTCTCCTTTCTTCCTCACTCTGCCACCAATGTAAAAAGGAGTGTTTTCCTGCATTCTTACAGAATGTTCTGTGAGTTCTCCTGATTTTACTAGTCAGCTGTTTCCCACCTCCCTTGGTATGCTACTGGGCCTTGTACCAATCTGCCATTCTTGCCAACTTCTCACAAAAAGCTTGCAATCAGTGTTTAAGAAAGTAACCTCCAGGGATCCCTGGGTGGCGCAGTGGTTTAGCGCCTGCCTTTGGCCCAGGGCGCGATCCTGGAGATCCGGGATCAAATCCCACGTGGGGCTCCCGGTGCATGGAGCCTGCTTCTCCCTCTGCCTGTGTCTCTGCCTCTCTCTCTCTCATTGTGTGCCTATCATAAATAAATAAAAAAATTTTTAAAAAAAGAAAGAAAGTAACCTCCAGTTTTATCATTTTATTGATTTTTATTGGATATATTATAGCTTATAGAAGGCTTTATTAAGGTATATTGTGCTCATTCACTCTTGATAGCCACTCTTGTAGCCTCCAAATAGAGGTTAGAAGCTAAAGAAGCAAAGTGACTTCACAAATCCACCGTATGAGAGAGCTGGAAATGGACTTCTGAGTCCAAAGTCTTCCCACTGTATCAGAGTTTCCTTCTCACCATTTAAATTGTGGTGTAAACACAACCTCATTTTTGTGTGCTGACCATGCTTTGTCTATCCCATATGGAGTGGAAAACCCCCATCTCAGACCTAGGAACTCACGCCTCTAAAGCAGTTCCATCATGCCACATGCACGCTGAGGTGGCCTTCTCAGTCAGGTCAATCACCTGTCTGTGTGTGAAACGCACACATGAGCTCTGGGCGCTTGTCTGCAGTCCTTTCCCCACTTGCTCCTCGGTTGTTTAGTGCTCCAGTGGCTCTGTGATGAATCCCTCCAGTTAACTAAGCTTTCTCCTTGAAAGTTCCAAGACTGTTTTTCTATTGGGGTTTATGGACTATTTGGAACAGAATTACCCAGAAAACTTA